TTAATTCTATAGTTTGTACAAGTACTTCCAAGAGTAAATAAGCGTCGCATTGAAAAACACAGAAAGTTTTCATTTATAGACTTACCAAGTTGCAACGTGAAAGCATGTTTCTTTAAATCTGTTGACACTATTAGCATTTGCTCCTGCACCGAGGAGAGCTAGTACCTCCTAAAATTTGAAAGTAGAAGGTATCCAAAAACGTTACCGCAATTAAATAATTGTTAGTATGCAGCGCATTACGTTTGATAAGTTTTAATTTCAGAAAATATCGTATCTGATAACTTTAACTTCGTCTAAGTTTTTCGCTTATCGGCAGAGTTTGTAATTAAAGTTGGCAATAAAATGGCACTAAAATCAAAAGTTTTGTTGCACTTCTTACTTTGCTAGCAGTTATTGAAAAATGCTTTATGTATCAGCTATCGACAAATCAACGATTGAAATTGTAGGATATATCAGATGCATTAGCATGCTTATTGGGTATTGGAAAATGATTGATACTTTAATTAACACTAACATATAGCGCCTTAGCTTCAACAAGAAAATATCTCTAATTTGTCGATATCGAATTTTTTTGTAAAGCAAGTATAGCATAGAAGACTGTAAAAGAGTAGCATCAATGAGTACTAAAATTGGAATAAACCATAACATTTGCGATTATAACACCTGATATTTCTTCTTACGAATGACTTTTACCTGTGAATTTCCGACTTTACTTGCGTAATGTAATGCTGTTGATCCTGTGACATCTTTAGCGTCAACTAATTCCTTAAATTTCTCTTCCTAAGTATGACAAATAATACAATAACCGAGAATTTGACAGTATCCACGCTATTTATCACAATATAAATGAAATTCAAAACTACTAGTTGAGATTACATTTCTTTATCTAATGATTTCGCTTACCTTTAAAAAGTGTTCTAAAATTACTTTCATAATTTCATAATTTCCAATAGAATAATGTAGGCATGATTTGTTAGCTCTGTCTAATATGGTCGCATCTGCACTTTGCTCCAGCAGCAATTTCACCGTTGTCATACTTCCTGATTCAGCTGCAACCATCAGTGGTGTTTTTTTCTTAATGTCGATGTCATTTACATCTATACCCTAATTAAGTTAATCTATTAGCATATATATAAGAACTATACAAACCATACTCAATCAATAATAAGGGTATAAATATCGAAAATTTATTCAAATAATGATAATATGATTACGTCTTCCCTATTATACTCACACAACTTATAAGGTATTTTACGATAACATCGTGGCCAAATTTTGCAGCTCTATCGAAAATACAAAGTATAGGTGTGAGAAAGGAAACGATAAGTCCTGAACTATATTTGGATGATATCTAATACGTAAATTCTACTTACTCATGTAACGGAGTAGCACCTTCACTATTTATTACTTCAACACCGAGATTAATTTTAATATTTTCGTGACTCTCATCCTTACTGCTAGCATTGTTTTCCACTTCTGTATTGCCTATTAAACAGCGTATAATTGCTAAGGAGCCACAAGCAGCAGCAACATGAACAGGCGTATTTCCGTCTGAATCCTACGATAAAAATATAAACCGTATGTCATGTAGTACTTAGTTCTTATAGTACCTCCAAAAAAAAACAGTAGTTGTCGTCTTTAGTGTCTCGGAGTATAAGTATTTTTGTTATAATCTAGCATACGCAAAGTTATATAAAGATTGAGCTGTTAAGTCATAACTATTTCATATGATCAATTGCTAATTAATGTAAACTAAATTAAGATTTACTTAGGAATGAAAATTTGCATTAAAAATAGAAATAATATAAGACGACATTGAATCGCTTATAAAACTTTTTTTACCGTACGATGACGATGTTCAAAATTTGTATCGCAGCTTTGTTATTAACTGCTGTTTCTCATCTTTAAATACGTACCCTTTTACTTGATACATTGGCATTATTACGTAATAGCAGCTTAACAGCCTGGATTTTAGGTGAAAAAGAAAGCATTAAAATTTAAAAGTTATTATTTCCTTCCTGTAAATAATTAATTTTAATCTCCACTGTTAATATTGATTAACCGGTAACGAGGAGCCTTGCACGGCTAGATGAAGTAATGTCGTTTTAGGAGATCCACAATCATATAGTAATTCGTCTACTTCCCAACCTTTGCTTTTCACTGAAAAAAAGATTAAATTGTGATATTTCACGAAAAATTTCTTGAAAATAAAATGCCACTTATAGTATCATTTTCTGTTAAATCGATGAGCAGCATATGCAGACACAATAATAGAGGTAATGTTATAATTCTGCATTTGTCCAAAAATTATTTGGCACTAAAGTATCTCACTATAATATTACTAGACGACATAAATAGATTCTGAGTAATCTAATCTACAGAGACGATGGAACAATTTCCCTTAGAATCGCTCTATCAGCCCTCTTCTTCGTCAAACTGTATCAATATGATCATAAAATTCAGCAATTTTATAGCTTAATGTGCACAATAGACTTTATTTGCTACTACTACCATGAAAAAACAATACCGAATTTGAGACATTACTTCATTTGAAATGCAGTTCAGATAACATAATAATGATTAACGATAATACCCAATGGAAAATATAATTAAATCGATTAACCTTATCGATTAAGAAATCGAATAATATTATCGAGTAGAAATTAATTTAATTTACATAATTTGCAGGCCAAGAAGAGCTAAGTGAAAGATTTGAACGAATCTTCAAGTAATTTCACACGGTAATAAATTAATTTTCTACCAGTACTAACCATGACTAAAAAACATCCTCAATAAATCCCCATATCCATTCTTAGCGGCATAAGCAACAGGTGTCATATGATCATCGTCTTCGATGAAGACGATTGCATTAGCCGTCAGCTAGGAGTCAAGCATAATTAAAAATATTCATTAAATCTAAATTTTTTTTCTAGTTTGAATAATAATCTGATTCAGCTATCTACATCTTAAACAATATTTACAGTTGCATAGCTACATCTTTATGCATTCCATACACTATCATACAGGTTTTTAGCAGATAAAATCTTTTAAAGAGCAAAGGCAGAAACTATTTAAAAATTAGATTAAATAATATCAGAATTGCTATTATGTTTTTAAACATTTTGCTTGGCATCTGAAAGGCAAAGAAGTTATAGCAGCGTCAAATTATAGGATTAACAATCTAATACTGATTAAGTTAGTAACACTATAATTTTATCGCTTTAGATAACAAATACTTGTAATTTCATTAAAGTATATTCATTCAAACCTACTGCATGTAAGCCGCTAGTGTGGAAAGATTTTCTGCGTAGCAATTAATTTAACATATAGTACCTCAGTTGGCTTTATCGATAAATTTATTAGTCAAGAAATAACAAATTCAAGGCATACGATATATCAGACTTTTGACATCATCGTTATAGTTAATGATCAAGTTTGCAAAAATACACATTCTTTAGGAGTAGTTTTTTCCTTAAATTCGCTGAAAAATTTAAATTTTTGCAGCACAGACTATGTAAAGCTTGATCAATTTTTACTTACTAATTCGCTGCAAATTAATTCCTTATTCGTGACTGCAGCTAAATGTAATGGCGCCATCCCTTGATTATCTACGCAATTTACATTAATGCTTTCTTCCGCTAGTAGAATCTTAATTATAGTGATAGAGAAGAAACGTAAAATTAATAAATTGATTATGAAGAAAAGACAACACGTGTATCAAGTATATATATATATATATAATCAATGCAGTATTATATTGCTGTTGGCTACGAGCGCTATACAAATACCGACATGATATATACCTGAACCAGGGATAAATTTCCTACTTTAACTGCTGTATGTAGAGCAGTAACGCCATTATTATCACCAATATTTAAATTACAGTTACTTTCGAGGAGATAAGTAACAATATTACTAGCTTCGGTTTCAATGGCATAGTGAAGTGCTGTTTTACCAAATGTATCCTGAGAATTAACACCTGGAATTAAGAAATAGTTTTTCAATCTCTCTGATCCTTAAAAATATCTACATATCGGAGTAAGCGTGTACCCGAATCAGCTGAATATAACATATCTCGACATTGATAAAGAAAGATCTACGCCAAGTTCACATATAGACTTTCAGTTATATTATTAATCACGATAAGAAAGAAGGTGACGTAATTATAAAGCTCTAAGTGTTCAGATTTGCTCCGACTTTAGTAGAGATTGAGGGTTTCATGAAATACTGTAGGCACAGTGCTGATAAATCATTAATCCAAACTACAGCATCAGTTATAAGGAATTTAAAATGTTAAATCTGCTGCCAATGAAGATTTCTAGTCATTCGGCTAATCTATTTAACCTAGTAGAATATTAAATTTCATGCTATTTACTGTATTTAACCTTTCCAATACATGTTGTAACCTAAATATTTGCAATATCACGATCTAAGATAAAAAACATAAAAAAATGGTACAGAGCAACAAAAATATCATCGATCTAGCAGTTTTTCAGAAGGCTAAAATCAGCTATAGTTATATCTGAAGTAAACTTTAATTTGAAAGAGAGACAGTTAAGAGAATGTAGTATACTTGAGAAAATGATATCAATCAAATTATACCCTTATTTATAGTAATCGCCTTGGAGTAATGGGTACTTACACGAAGATTTTGCCTGCACTTTCTCTCTACATCCGTCGATATTGCCATTAATAACATCGTGATGTATTGAATAAGTAAAGGCTTTATTGATCTATAATATCATTAAACGAGAATGAACAACTGATACCGATAAATCTGTAGACACTGATTCATTAATTTTGTACGTCAGTAATAATTTCTTTTATCATCATCCTAATTTAAAACAATTTTTAAGGCAAGAAATAATTTAATACTAAGTAAAACTATTAAATCGCTAAATTAAGTATCGGTGAACTTTAGTTATCGGTATAGATATTTTAATTTTAACTTAAAAAATGTAAAAATAGTCGATAGGGACGTAATGGAAAAGCAAATTATTTTATGGTAAAATTTTTGCAACTGCATCAAATGTTCTTACACCGATTAAATCATATTTCATAATGTTCCCTTTTTCTATAGATGGTGGACAACGATCATGAATCAAAGGGCGGAAATATTTTAGCTCATCGTATTCATATAATGATAAAGACAAATTATGATGATATGATGGACTGTAGGAGCCACTTGCATGTTTCATAACTTTGCGTCTGGCAATAGGAGTAACTGCTACGGTCGAGCAGTCATCTTGGCTATCGGTTGTATAGGTCGATGGAAAGCCATTTATTGATAGTGAGTTTGCGTTACGTTTTTCGTATAAAGGAATAGACATATTGAAATAATCTAATCGTTCATCTATCGTTGCCAATAATAGAAAATGGAATTGCAACTTAAAAATTGTTCAACGATGGTAATGATCCCTATCTCCGGTTTTAATTTTCAATTCTTTGTCCCAAATAACTACAATATGCAACTATAGCACCAGCTTATAAGTTTCTGCGCTAAGATTGACCTTAGCAATATAGAAGAGTATGATAAATTAAATGTCATTAGCATCGTCAACAGTAAATAGTCTGATTCACAGTTAATTCATAAGGATGACGATGAAATGTCAATACTACTTTGTTCCAGAGAATTTCTTCAACGAGGTTTGGCTGCTGTATAATCAAGCAAATATGTACCGTGAGAATTAATAAGTAAAATGTTCAATCTCAATCTATACTATTCTATATGAAGTTTTAGTATATCTAACAGTTAAGCAAACAAGAAACATATTGCAACCATATTTTATAAGTGAAGGTATTGCTGGGTGCAAGAGTCCGTGACATAAGAATATCGCTAGACAAAATTGCTACACGATTACCTATTTTAGGCTTAGTACTACCATTATTACATACATTATCTTCAAATTTAAACTTTGAACAAATAAATGGTCTAGATAGAAAAGCATTTATCATAAAATAATCTGTTCGTCAGCAATGAAAAGAATTTAATTTAATTAATAAATAAATTCTGATCAGTAACATTTGTATTAATTAGCTAAGCTACGTGACAGTTAAAAGAGTATGAAAAGTGCTCTGCCTGATACGCTATAACACCTTAAGCAGTAACAGCGGTCGGTTTAGTTATGATCGTGGTCCCGCCGCCATATGCTTAAGAAAACAACTGGGTATGAAATCATCCCATTACTGTGTGAGATGTGTATTTTTATTATAAGATAATTTTCTTCAAAAGTGCAGCAAAGCTAATAGAATGACTAAAAGTTTTTAAAGGCAAATTTTCCTATTGTTAGTAATCTCAAGACGAAAGTATAACAGATAATTTCATATTCTCTAATTTTCCTTGGCAATACCTACCCTTTCCTTGCTGTAAATCTATTCTAATAAGATTCTTAGCAATTCGCATACTGTATAACGAAAAACGTTCATTTTGTTGAAAAATAAAATGTATTCGTTTTTATTAACAATCTCAGCACTGGTAAAGTTTACATGAGTTCTATTTTTACGAAAGTGCCAGCTCAACTGCCCAAGTTAGTCATAAACATATCTATAAACAATTACCGGATTTTGTAATTCTATATTGCTCCACTGCTCGCCTTGCTTCGCCTACAAAGTAATATTTTATCTTTATATAATAATCATTAAAATTATTCCTATCATTAATAACATTGGTATAAAGGTATTTCTGGAAATATCTTTGAAAATAATTTGATAAAGACATGGAAGAAGTCATTTAGTCACTTTTGCCTTCAATTTATTCTTTTAATGAGACTATTGTAATTTATAGAAATAGCGGCAATACCAGAACGGTGTCATGATTTGCAGTAATTTACAGCACAGATTTTCTCGATTGATAATCACCATAACTAATCGATATCAATTTAAACCATACCAAGTAAATATGCAATTAATAGTCTCGGTATTCCATTGAGTTACTGTTCATTACAAAGCATCTGCGGTACACTTATTGCAATGAAAGCACTGTCCTGATAGAAATCAGGAAGATTTTCGCATGATATTAATCTAGATCGTAATTTTGACTCACAAATCAAACAGAAGGCTCTTTCTGGTTCTGTTTTATTGATTACTTTCCATGCCTAGATTTCACAAAGATAGAATTATATATAGCTAAAAAAATGATTAGCAGTAGAACCCATAGGTTTGCAAGTAAGAATTAGATTTCATTACATTATAATCTAATGTATAGAAGACAATTAGCATTTGAATTATGGCTAACCTCTAGTGTAACCTAAGAGAAGGTTGATTAGATCGATAAAACATCCAGAATGACTAGTTAATTTGATTTTGGTATTACACTGAAATAGTATTTATGGGGCCAGCTATCATATAAATTGATATACTGATAGTAGATGGTTAAAGAAAAGAATATTGGAGGATAATACCTAAATTTGTAGCAATAAAGAGCCATAAAGCAGTCAATCTTGCTCCACAGTCTATCACGCTACCTTTGTAAAGCAGTTACAGTCACTAATTTTTAATTCTAGCTGCTGGTGGGCTTGTAGTCTAGCTGGCTACACACGTAATGATTTAACAGAATTATCAGAATCAATCTTACACATTACCGCAGCTATACATAAAACAGTCTAATTGAACAGCAGTACATGTACATGTCGTATATTTTTGTTTCTAAATTTGTATAACTATCCTTTATACTTTAAAATACTGTGATATATACCAATCACGAATTTCCAATTTTTAGAAAAATAAGGGCTTTATTGAATCTTATACAAAGATTAACTACACAGCTCTACTCTAGCCGAATACTACTTCTAAAGACTTCTACAACGAACTAACAGAATAATCTAAAGTTGCATGCTTTTATACTTTTCGTAGCATTCGCAGCTACAATCCGCATGGCAACCTTTTACCTTATTTTACACATAGTTAAATTATTCTTAGTAAGGCTATTCTACTGCGGACCATCATTAATCCAATATGGATACGACTACAGTACTTGCGTAGACATTATTCACACCAGCCAAAGTACAATGAATTAACCATATCCTAATATATGATTTACAGCTCTATTTTTACCTATAGCCATATTAGTAACTCAACAGCTTACTGTATATAGTCATCTGTACTCTAGCATAGAGTCTCTACCACTACAGTCTATAGTTACAGCTACCAAATATCTAAACCGTCAGCAAAGCGACGGGACTTTGCACTAGTACATTACTAAACGTATGCAACATGACATTAACCACGGTCAGAACATGACCTAGACTTTGAGCTCTCATATAGATCGGGTATCTAATTAATTTACTCGCCATTACCAGAAAATGAATTGGTTTTACAATTCTGGATTTACTAATAACTTAACATATATAGCATTATTTACCTATCGAAGTACAAATATCATAAAAGTAATGTATTAATAGAAAACGATCTTAAGATAAAATTTATCTAAAACAAAGGGTGAACACAAAAATATTAATGTACTTATTGGCATAAACCAGCTCTGTGATATGATTATTAAATAGTAGAATCTTCAAATCTCGCCTATGAATCACATATCACAGCACTAAAATCTATCCAGAAAAGACTTGAGAATGTTTCATCCTTAATTTTATAATTTATGAAAGATTTGTAAACCTTCAGCATCACGCTAGCACTAAACTTACAAACTAACCTTATTGTACAAAATGCTGGGCTAACATATTTATCTACAGCAGCTATATGCATTGGCTAAAAGTTACAATTAATTTCATTAAAGCCTATATATCAGGTAAGAAATCTATGTATGAATGTCTAATTAATACAGCAACATTTGTAGATAGAGGTATCTGATGATTTTAATAAGACAGTCAGATTGCAACGTGCCATTGGCAGAAGTATCAGGTCTTAATATAAAACTATTTTCAAATTAGTTAAACTCATATATTACGGTGCAGGAAGTCAAAAATATAAACTATCTCATAAACTAAATAGGCTATACCGGCAAATATCGGTAATTACTCCACAATAAGGCTATACCGTAACAATTTATTAGTTAATACTATAAATTTTTGACAGAAACTGCAACAATTTGATAAACGGTTGGAGATGAAGTCATCAAATTTTGTATGTAATAATGGAAACAAAAATTGTCAGAATAAAAGTTTAAAATAATACTAAATCCGTCCGATATGGTATGATCGGTCAGCTTGATAGCAATGCTTGATGATACCAAGTAAATATAGATACACTCTGGAATGCATTTCATGAACGTGAGAGCATTAGTAGCCTTAAATTTAAATTTTATATAAAATATGAATGAGAATGCATATTTAACTTAGAGCTCTCTGGCTATGATAAACTGCATGTGAATGGATAAATCGATGGGCAGCTAGTACAGAATAATATACATGAATACAAACGAACAGTATTCAGAATAAATATCATAAACGAAGTCTATTAATGTAGCAAGACCTTCACAGAAGTTTGGTTCTTAAAACTCATAATTTCAAATTATTGATCATTTTAGTATCTGATCTAACTACTTTTAAAGTATATCATGCAAAGAAAACTTAGGATAAAACATTAATTATACTCAAAATTAATACTGGAAGATAGTTTATGACATTTCTAAGTCTGCCTATTTTATCATTGCAACTAATAAACGATAGCTAAAAAACTAGTAGATATACTCCAATATTAAAATTAGCTTACTTTGTCTCGATTTCATTTCCTCTTGCAATCTACTGTTTGAAGGAAAATCTCCAAAACAAGTCTAGAGTTCAAAAGCAGTAATCGTAGAAGAATCAAATAAAGTAATTCTTAGAGATCTTTAGTACATAAATTGGATTTTGTAAATTCTTACAGTTTCTGTAATCGGTATAAAAATGTTCAAACAAAATGAATCTTTCTTATTTTACCTTTCTCTGACAAAGAAAAATCGCCTTGAAATTTTCCATTTGTACAAGATCCTTTTCTTGTCAGAAATACCACAATAAATTGGGTCAGTGCCATTCATAATATCCCTATAGGATTAAATATTATTTTTAAATACTTCACAGATCTGCATTTAAATCACCTGCCGAGCAAGATCAGGTGAGTGATATTAATTAGCTGTTTCAATAGATTATTATTATCGATCGTATTCATTAATCTTATATAATAATGTTAGTAATTCATTTTCGGCTGACAGGTTGACTCATTTAGCTTATCTTCAGTACAAAATCGTACTACCGGTATCGAAGTCCTAAAATCGTCTTACATTTACGTTTATGGTGTAAGATGTAGTAGAGAAGTCTTGCATTAATAGTTATAGGCATTTTTACCTAATTGACTATATAATGTTAGGTTACTAACCGCCATTTAAGATCTGCAGTTAAGTAGGATGAGCTATTTAACGAACACGAGGCTAGGATAAAATGCTAATAGCCATTCACGTCAAAATAAACAAACGACAATTTCATCTGCATACCAAATTGAAGCGATGGTAAAATCTTGCGGTCACTTATTAATTAATGCATTCTGATTATTTACTGTATTCCAACTTTTAGTTTATAAAATTGCTAAAATTCTAAAATATCGTAAAGATTAGTTAGCTTATATGTTAAAGTATTTGCTTTTGGAAGTAATTTCAAGAAATCTTCTAATTCCGGCCATATTGTTCGCTACTAGATTTTTTTCCTACGTTGCAAACGTGCTATACGCCTATCTAGAAGTAAGCCGATGATTACTATTATGTATGATAAACTGTCTTACTCGATGAGTCATTTTTATTATTAGTAATAGATTTCAGTAATTGTTAAATTATTTTACTGGTTATCCTGTTTTATTTGGCCATTATCATATTAAGCAAAAATAAGTAACTTAGCAAATATAGAGTAGGTTGTTAAAAGCAGGATTATTACTGTACTTACCTTACCAATTATAAAAAGTCGAAAATAAGCTATAGCAAGCAAATAATGCTTCCTTTAGTTACTAACAATTTTTGTTAAATCTTAAAAAGAGATATTAAATTTTTAAGCTACACTTCACTCTGCTTTTAATGCTATAAGTAAAGGTATTTCTTTGCAAGAAGAGACTGTCAAAATATTTGTATGTTCTACTTGCTATAATAAGAAACGTTCTCTAGTTTTCTGGCTATTATAATTACATGATTACTGATGACACGCATGTAATTCGGTAAAGAAATTGTCAAAAATTGACCTTCATGAACTTTAAAATACGATAAAATTATTAGGATTAGGATTACGTTTTATATCATGATCTTCGCTCTAAACTAGCAATACGATAATAAAAGCACAGAAATAAATCTCTAACATCATAAATCATAAAGCTTTTGGTGAACTACTAATTCCTTCGATTTTTAAATCTCTCTAAGGCTTAAGTGCTTTAGCTTTTAGCTTTAAACTAAAAGATAGAGATTCTATACGTTTGTTTTTGTGTTATTCG